CTAGAAATGCTTACTTCATGTGTTTTAAGCAAATCCAAAACTTCGGAAGCTGGTGGACGAAGAATACGTTGAAAGTTGGTACATCTGATAGGTGAATTCGTAAAACATAAAAGAAAATCTTGAATCCAAACCTCGAGATGATCTTTTGAATTTCTGATTGACATTCGGGTGATTCGATTTCAGTCCGACGTTTGAGGCCGATATCTAATACAAGCGCATCTCTGTTGAATTCCCCTTCTGGCCCATAATTTAAGAAGACTGTTCTAAAGAGATTCTTTTTTTTTTGGGTCCGATACAACCCTTCAGTATTGAATCTTTAATTTGCGTTACCTTTATGCATATGTTGGTGGTTTGTTTCATAAAATCTTTCAAATAAATACCTCCTTTCAATAATCTCCCACACGACTAAGCCAAGGCTGTAAACATCGTTTCGATGGGAATCCTGAAGTTTATTTTAAATGATAAAGGTACATCATCAAACTCGAATATCTGGATCTTTGATTTGATCATGAACATCCCGTACATGATTCTCAATCAACTCGGGTGGACTCATCTATCGTTGTGTTCCAGCGAATGTTCCCGTAACAGTTCCATCTCCCACTACTTTTACCAATCCGAAGTCGCCAATCTTCAGCTGGTATTCATTGGTCACAAAAATGCTATAAATGAACCGAATTTCGACATTTGTATTACTTGACATTACTTGTCTGGTTTGATGTCTCGATGCACCAATTTGTGTTTCTGAAACATGTGATCAATGGCCTTAAATAATTGAATAGCCCATGTGAGAACAGTGTTCATTGAATAGCTGATTGTTGGGTTGAAGATTACTAAACTGTAGATTTTAACAATATATTTTGATCCAAACCATCTCTGAGGGATCCCCTCTGGCAGTATTCCATTACAATCCCCACTCTTATTCCTTCTTCTATATATCGATACAATCCGACAACATGGTCATGATTTATCTTCTTCAAAGCTTCACATTCATTTTTGAAGAGCTTCAATTGTTCACCATTGCCACAAAACATATACTTGATCACAGCAGGGCTAAATAAAGGAAGAATCCATTAATTTCGATATCGCATTTCTTCTAATATGTAGAAGTATAGCTTTAGTCTGACAATAACCATATTGTTCTTCACGATTAAAAGTATTTTTATGCGAGCTTTGAGTTTAGATAGTTGAGAGAATTTAAAAATGCAAGCTACCAAAAGTTGTGGAGTACTTGATGGGTACCTGAGGACCTCAAAGGTGGGTCCCTTTGTCGTGAATGTGTTAAACGACAATAAAGAACATATTTTTGGTATCACTTCATGTTTATGTACATTACAACCTCTTTTCTCTTAGACACTGTATTTTTCAATAAAATAACCAACGGTTTGTGTCCCTCCAATTCATACACATCCCCCATTGCTCCTCGACCAATAAATCGTTCTTTGAATCGCTGGTTTGTTGCCATCGTTTATCGTGGGCCGCTTAAACTGCAAATGTCCCTGGGAATAAAAATAATTCAGAATAAATTAAAATTTATAGTCAAAATGAAGAGCAAAAAACTGAAGGCTTAGCAAAAAAAAATGGCGTGGATAATAGATATGAAGATAGATTATTATATTGACTGTTCAGAAGGTGAAAAATTATTATATTGAAGATTGCTTTATCAAGTTTGGACATTCTTAGAAGATTCTCATTTAAAGCCAGCAATAATGTGTTGTGAAGAACAGTTTCGCAAAAGAATTGAACAAAAGCCTTATCAGTTTCTTTTCATATTGATTGAATGAAGTGAATGAAAAAGAAGATAAAGGGCCAGCTCGGCTTTGTTTCACTTTTCGGAGCCAATTTCAGTGTCAAGGCTTTGACTCTGCCCAAAAGCACCATTCTTCAGCATGAAAATCCTCAGTAGATTAGTGGTGTGAGGGATTTTAATCAAATCTGAGCGATTTTATACAAAGAGACGATAAGGTTCCAAAAATCTGAGACGCTTATTTCTCGTCAAATGAAAAGCTGAAATCAGAATGGAACTGTATTAAAGTGTCGGGAATTCAAAGTGGAGATCTAAATAGTATGTACGAAATTCTTCTCTTCACGCTATTCCCATTTTGATTGATTCTGGTTTTGGGAGAATGGAGAGGGGTATGATAAAAGTAAACTGAATCCTATTAGTTCATTCAATACTTTACTGGTGTAGATATTTCATTTGATAAAGAGATTTTCTTGTTGGAGGCTCAATCATTCACACAGATATACACAGTCAGAGTTAAATGTTTGAACCTAGCTTATCTTAACTATACTATGGCCAGATTTAAACATATAGGTAGGTGACTAAAAAAAACAGGCCTAAAGACTCACAGGGTGGCTAATAAATATTGTCCTGTGTTATTTCTCGGGGCTAGTTCCAAATCCCATAAACAATATACCAAAATGTTGCTAAGAGTCCAGGGAATCTAAATATATGCATGACTCGTATTTGGCTGGCTTTTCGACAGCCATTTTTTGGTTTTTTTAAGAGAGGAAAAATGAGAGCCAGAAAGAACATTACAGTTTTTTTAAATCGCTGCTTCGAGCCAAATTCCAAATCATTTCATTAAGAAAACATTCAGGGTAACATTTTGAAGCAAAATTTTAAAAGTTAGCTGGATAAATGAAAATTCTACTTGTATGAAAAGCTTAGAATTGATCACGGGCAGAGTGCCTTTTTTGAAAAGCACAAGAATTGAGATAAAATCTTTCACAGTCATTGTCTCGAAAAATCATGCAGTAGCAAGCGTTGAAGCACGCGACAATACTTATAGCCTTTCGAATTCGGCTTCGAAAGCCTTTTAAACTCGGTGTTTATAGTGTTTTCACAAAGTGAAGCTTGAGTCACAGTTTGATTTGAATTGTGAATTAGTGCGGCTTTATCGTGTGTATGGAAAGGCAAACACTTTTTAAATTCCTTCCCGATGAGCTAAATTCTTGGAAATTTTTAGTCACAACCTTTTTTGTTTGTTTGACTCATCATCTTGCAGTGATAATGATTATCTGGAATGTTTTTCTAGCTAAAATGAAAAAAAATAGCTCTAGAAGTAATTTTAAATGATCCAAATAATTGAGGCATTCTATTTGCTGATTTCATGGAAAAGCCACTTTACCATATCCAATGTTATTATGGATTACCCTGTGAACATCCTTTATTCTTGTCAACATTTTTCGCGAGCTTGCACTCTTTTCAAATAAAAATACATCAGTTTTTCCTTTCTTGGTTCAGCTATAGCTGACCAAATCAAATCAAATAATCAGATCAAATTAAATTACAATGATCAAATCATAGCTTATACTAAGCGCAACAAACCAGGCTCCTCTTGACGGGAATAACCTAGAGGGTACACATTAGACATGACAATCGGACCAGACCACATCAATCCGATCTGATCCGACAGAGCCGACCCATCGAACTAGTCCGATCCGATAGTCATGATTATTTGGCCTGTAACTGTCTCTGTTTTCCTGTCTAAAATAACTAGAATCTTCATGGTTTATGTTGGATTCTTAGGACTACCTAATCTCCGGACAAACATCTCCAAAATAAGTGTTCTCTCAAAGTAAACTACCTAAACGCCCACTTTCTGGCATACAGCCGGCTATATTTGGTTCAATTACCCAAGTATGAAATGTATTTCTACAAATTAACTCGCTTTTTTGCAGTATTTTACTCGTGGTTTGAACTAAGAAATTTACCTTTACTCTTATTTACCTATTTTACCATTAAAATAGATATGATGAAAACCAAAAATAGCTATGCCAGAGAGTGGGCGTTTAGGCAGTTTTCCCTCAGAGAACGCTTTTTTTTGGAGATGTTTGTCCGCAGGTCGGCGTGAAAACCATAACCAAGAAGTGTTTTTCTAATTGTTTTAAACATGAAATTTGTTGAAATTTGAAGGTTGAATATTTTAAAGTCTACCTTATATAGTTTGAAAGAGAGAAGGGCTTTAGTGATGGAACACGAAATTACATGGCTTGTGAACATAAGTCAACTTCAATCCGGCCGTTCTCAGCTATTTTACCACAAAAAAATTCTGAAACTTTAATACTTGGTAGTCCTAAGAATTCTACAAAAAACCCGAGAATTCTGTTTATCATAATGGTGAAATAAATGAAAGGAAATTTACTTTGCACTTTCCATACTTTGCATGAAAATGTCCATAGTAAATGTACTTTCCATACTTTGCAACTCAATATCACGAGAAATTCAACTTCTTTTAGAAAAGCTTACTTTCTGCGTTTGAGCAAGGAAATCCAAGACTTCAGAATCTGGTGGACGATGAATACGTTGAAAGTGAGTACATCTGATAGGTGAATTCTTAAAATATAAAGGAAAATCTTGAATCCAAACCTCGAGATGTTCTTTTGAATTTCTGATTGACATTCAGGTGATTCGATTTCAGTACCACGTTTGAGCGCAATATCATATAATAATTGCTCACGATTGAAAAACATTCCAGATGTCTCATAGCTAGGCATCTCGTAGTTTGTGAAAATGGTTCTAAAACAATAAATATGCCGTTTTGAAGTCTTAGTTATATTTCAAATGAGATCAATATGCAAATAATAATACCTCCTTTCGATGATTTCCCACATAACAAGTCCCAGACTGTAGACATCATTTCGATGGGAATTCTGGAATGAATACCGTAATAATTCTAATAGAAGACCATGGTCTTCTAATTTTCAACCCCTTCCCCAAAGGGTCTTCTATTAGAGACTGGTCTTCTGTTAGAGACTGGTCTTCTAATTTTCAACCCCCTTCCCAAAGGGTCTTCTATTAGAGACTGGTCTTGAATTTGTCAAAGCTTTAGAGAACGATTTTAGGAAGCAACCCTTTTTAAAAATCAGTCACATTTGTATCATCACTTTATTCACTTAGTTAAAGCAACAATTAACAACAATAACAACAAATAATTATTAACATAAAACATAAAACAATTTGAAAGGAGCAAATCCGTTAAAAAAACCTCAATTTAATTTTCATTAATGTCATTGATTTCAATCGAGGCATCGCTTTCGTAATTCTTGTTTTCCTCGTCTTCGCCCAAATCAATTTCATCCAATAATTGAGCAACCATCTCATCATTTCGGGCTTGCAACAATTTGGAGGCCGCTTCTGGAACTGCACCGTTGGGCTAAAATAAAAACACTAAATGCATTAAAAATCTTATAAAGTAAAAAGCAGCTAAAATTTTACTTACTTTGAAACAGGAGATTTGATCGTCTTCCGATCCATCAATAGCAACCGTAATTCCGCAGGATTTGAATGATCCAGCGATGAGATCCTTATCCAAATCATTCCAAGCATCGGTGATCCATTGTAAGTAGTTGTCCATTGATGGGGCTTTGATATTACCTCCTTTTGTGATTTCCTGATCTCCATGCATCATCCAATCGTCGTAGTAGATTTTGGCCTTGAAGGGATGATTCCAAACAACATCTGGTGCTTGAATAAATTTTGTGCACCCTCCTGGAATTACCGCCGAGTCCATTTTAATTGCTTTAAGTACTCGCTTCGTCGAGCTCGAAATGTGACAGCGAAAGCTGTCCCAAACCAAAAAGCACTTGAAAAGTCCAGCATGTCCAAAGGTTCTCTTGAGAAAGTCGGCCGTCAGATCATCATTCATCCATGTCGTTCGCTCCCAGACAAGATTCAATTTACCTCCAAATCGCTTCTGGATGACCGGATCAATTCGTTTCCGTGGCAAAAGAACAAAGGCTTGCACTTGTAACCGTCGGAGCGCGCCGTAAGCATCACAGAAATTTTTGTCTTTTCATGTCCACTTGATCGAACTGAGACTTCATTTGCTCCTTTTTCATCAACACATTTTCCGCCAATTGGATCAAGGAAGACGGCCGTTTCATCACAAGCGTAGATGTGTGTGTATTTGTTCTCCTTTTGCATCCGATTGAAATACATTACGAAATTGACCAACACATCAGCATATTCGTGGGGAGGCTTCTGACAGATTGACGTTGAAGTTCTCATTGAAAATCCATGACGCTTCATGAACTTTTGAAGCCATCCCAATGAACAATCAACTTTGATATCGTTTTGCTCACAAAAACGCTTTGCTTTTTTCTTGGACCAAACGCCTCGAGACCTTGTTTTTCTTCTGTCGTTCGCTTCGGACCCATTCGGCAAGTTCCACGTCGAGTTGCGTATTTGTGAGGGTTCGGCCACCTCCTTTTAACCTCTTGTATGATTTCCCCATCTTTCGCAATCGTTTTTCTTGCAAAATCCATTCGCGAATCATCTTTCTGCTGACTTGAAACTTTGTGCTTGCAACATTCTTTGAGATCGTCTTTGCAAATTCAATTTTTTCTAACTTCAACTCGATCGAATATGCCTTCCGTTTGTTTCCATTCTTGAGCAGTTCCGCTTCGAGAGCCTCCAAAGCATTCTCCGAATCTTGATTCATCTCGTTTTCATTCTCCTTTTCTCGTTCCTTGAAGATTTCAAAGTCGTCTCCTTCATCTTTTCGAATATCTCGATACTCCTCCAGAGAATCCGTGCGAATTGGCAGTCGCTCAGCCATCAGCCCTGAAAATAAACACATTATTTATTTTAAGACAAGAAACAAGAATTACAAAAAACACTAGTAGGAAAGAAATAATAACTTTGCACAATGATTTTTACAAGAAAATCTGGGTGGTAGCGGGATACGGTAACATAGTGCATTTTAAGAGTTTGGGTCTTCTATTAGAGACTGGTCTTCTATTAGAGACTGGTCTTCTAATAGAGACTGGTCTTCTATTAGAATTATTACGGTAGTTAACTTATGTGAACCTGTTTCCGACCAATTCTACCAATAACAGAAGGGAAACTTAAATTCTGCGGATCAAGTTGATGTCAACCACTTCACTGCCGCAGCAGAAGGACTAACACCACCGCAACTGAATCTGGCGGATGCAGTGGTTAGTGCACCGCCGCAACAAGAATCTGACCACTACTGGCACGGTTTACTAAATGGATTGCAAACAGGTACTTAATAAAATCATATCTGGAAAAGATAATTTTTCAGCTGTCATTAATTTTAGATCAATTCTCTGAGCCGCAATGGATTCCTAGCTTCTATCAATATGAAGGTAAGCAAATCCTTGGTTTATTGAAGCTGGTTGAATTAAAGCTAGTTAACTTATGTGAACCTGCGAACCTGCATAAAACAAGAAAATTCTAGTTATTTTAATGGTAAAATAAGGAAATAGAAGTGAAAGGAAATTTGCGAGGTTACATACTTCAGAACCGCCTTTCTGTTGAAATTTTATACTGCTTAAATATAATAACCTAGGCAAATCAATTCATTTTTTCACTCCCTTTTATGCCCACAGAAGATAAAAACCAAAAAGATCTGATGAAACCAATTGGATTCGATGATAGAACAGAATGGGTTGAGGAAAGAAGATATATAAAAAGATTCGAGGAGCATAGAAGTCGGCTCTACGAAATTGTCACCAGAATAATGCGAGATAAACTCGGAACACAAATTCTGCTGAAAGAGACGAATTCTACAAAGAGGCATCAAATATTGTTTCAAGATAAAAAGAAGAAACTCAGACATTCAAAGATGCTCGTTATTTCCTGCGACCAAAAGTAAGAACTCTATCAAATCTTATAAAATACATGTAACTGTCCAGAAACCAAACCTCATTCTCCGTGATTTCACCACATACTGGAATGTGCAATTCTTTAGGTGAATCTGATAGCCTTTTTTTCATTTTTCTAAATCCATCCTTTTGACATTTCCCTGGATGATTCTTTTGACAAACTGAACGAAGAGGATTCCTTAATTGGAATATGTAGTGGGGGAAGGGATGGGGTTCACCAGATCTATTAAATTTAGAAGATTCCCGGCGAATTGATTGAATATTAAATGCAACATTATTCTTCTCCGAATCTTCTATTGGAATCAGATGTTTCAAGTGTAATTTTATGATCGTTTCCATTCTTTTTTGTTGTTTCTCAAATGCCTCAACTATTTGTTCAAGAGGGATTTGTTTGTAATGGGAAAAATGAATCAATTCATGTTTTTTGCCTTCATTTTCAATTTCATAGCTCCAGATTTCACCTCTTGGATTGTCTACCCATTGTCCTGGTATGCGTTTCCATAATTTCAAGTCTTCACTTACAAACTTATCCTCTTCTATATGAATCCATTAAAAAGAACTACGCATTGTGATTTAAAGATACTGGCTTGCAAATCGGTTTTTTGGCATCGCTGTTGTAATTTCAGTTAGGAAGACAGTAAAGCTTTTTTATCAAAAACACTGGCTGTAAGGTGTTTTTTCAAAATATCTTCCTGGTTAATTGTCTTGATCGGATTTCAGTAACGATAATCATATAATTGCAATATTGTTCTGCTGGTTCATTGTGCTGGTAAAATTCCAGTAGTCTTACTTATGGTTCAAGTCACCAATTTACACCAACACCAATATTTAGTCACCAAAATCCCTATTATATCAGTGTTTGACCAGAGCACTGACATAATATTAGGTTGGCGGGAAAATAATGCGAATTTTTTTATTTAAAAAAAGCAATAAATAAAGAGGATTAATATAAAAGGTATTCTCCATTATTATTTAGGACATTATGTCATCTTTTGCTCAATTCAATAATTCCATCCACAAAGAACTGGGGACTTTTTAACGAACAATAGTTGGTGACCGCATTTTCGATTTCCCGGAATTCCTTGAACAGCTGATCGGGGATGAACTGCTTTAGAGACCTGAATAAGTGATAGTCTGATGGGCCCAAATCAGGGCTGTATGGGGCGTGAGGTAGAAGTTTCCAGCCCATCTCTTCGATTTGTTGGAGGGTCATCTTTGCCGTGTGCGGTTTTGCATTATCACGCAAAAATCGAATTTTTGAATTGTCATGTCGAGATTTCGGTAAAGCTTGATTCACACGCTCTCACTGCTCACTGTAAAGTTCAGATGTGATAGTTTTACCCGGTTTGAGGAGTTCAAAATAAACCAATCCACGATAGTTTCACCATACGCACAACATCAACCTCTTTCCATGCAGACCTGGTTTTGACATGGCAACCGGGACTTGCTTTGGTGATAGCCATTGGTGCTTGCGCTTAACGTTATCATATAATATCCAGGTTTCGTCAGAAGTAACAATCGATTTCCAAAAATCATGTGCTTTTGATTTTTGAATCAAAATTGAACAAGTGTTCATACGGGCAATTTTGTGATTGGGGGTCAGTTCATGTGGGACCCATTTTCCGCATCTGTCTCGCTTTCCAATCAAATGTGAATGCTCTTCAATAGTGCTATGATGAACATTGAACATTTCCGACAACTCCCGAGTGATGCAAGTGGGATCTTCTTCGATAATTTGCAAAAGTTGAGACTCATCCAGCTTTCAAGGATGTCCTTCGTGATGCTCATCTTCTAGGCTCTCGTTTCCATTTCGAAATCGCTCAAACCATCGATAACATTGGCTTTCGCTAATACTATCTTCGCCATAGGCCTTTGAAATAGAATTATGCGATTCACGGGCAGATTTTCCAAGCTTAAAGTCATAGAGTAAAGCAGCTCGAATAAGGAATTTTTGTTCCGTCATTTTTTGATATCAAATGAACAAATATTTTTGAATAATATTATGATTGTGTAAGCAAACACAGTCTGCTTCTCTGTTGCTATCGCGGTTTTCTCTGTTTGTCTGCCATTACTTTCCCAAGAGCACAAGTTAAAAATTCGCATTATTTTCCCGCCAACCTAATATATTAAAGAGCAAGTGACAACCCAATACCCGTGCGATTTACAATTTCTAGCATTCAAAAGTGAAAACGAGAAAAATGTCCTTGTGTTGGATTTATCACCGCTTCTTAACGAGAACGATGACCAAATTGTGCAACTCCAGTGTTTAGACCTCAAAGTGATGGTTTGTCTCACTTCTCCCGCTCAATTCTTCCCAATACATTCATAGATTCCACTATCATCGATGTCGACTCTAGGGAGCTCGATTTATGTATTCGAACTGATCGAAATACCATTTTTCGAGTTAAATTCCTTTTAGTAATTGACTGAACCACATCAAGTGTAATTGTAAAGTGAATACGCGCAATCTATCCTGAAAAGTATTTTTTTGGTTCGCAAGAAATCATGAAATAAGTGGAGTCGGTTCTCCATTCAACGGCATTCTAACACTTGGCTTTCTCTGGCTGTGAATTTTCTCAGTTTCGTTGACCAGCAATACAGGTGCTATCATTTCATTCATCTAAAGTTTATTGGCAATTTCATGAGCTTAAACATTTCATGAGCTCAAACCTAAACTCCGATTGCTTGATTGAACTCCTGTTCGATTTCAGTGTATCTTGCCATTTTTTTTTTTTTAAGACATTTTTTTAAAAATCAAATCGAGTCGAGTCGGATGACAAATATACTGTATTTTCTCTAATAGTAGTGCACTGCATCGAGCCGAGTTGATGCCTATTTTACCGTTTCCAATTTTTCCCAGAAGCTCAGCACTCTACTCACCCGCAAGCTCTCATCGTCAGCTACATTTTCCGACCCCACATCAATAGGTTCTGATAAGCGGTTTTTGAGATTTCGAGCAATTTAGACGACGATCTGGGTGCACTACTGTGAGAGAAAATACGGTAATTTTTATGTATAGCTTTTTTGCTTTCTTGTTATTTTGTTTGTTGAATAATTTTGAAAAATAAAGAATTTGAAAGGGAAAGTACAAAGTGAGTCAATGGTATTTTTTAGTAAAAATCAAAAAAAATTTAGAGAATTTGATTTTAAAACAAAAACACAAATAGTAGAATATGAATATTATGCAAATGCCATAAAAGGCAACAATTTATCGTAAAATCGACTATGAAATCGATAAATTATTGGGTTTGTCGTCGAACATTTCGTTCCACCTTTCATAATCGTCTTTTGTCGGGTTTTCCGGTATCAGTCCCACCGAATGTTTATGCAATTGTGCATAGAAATACCAATGAAGATGCTCTCGATAAAGATTTTCAATTGTTTCATCGACGAGATCATCAGCAGGGTCACCTCGATGAAAATCGAAACCCTGAAAGAGAATATGCTCCAATCGTTTCTCTTTGTAAATTTTAGGAATTTCTTCGTTAAATTGATCCAAACATTTGGGAGACAACAGTGAGCGTTTCTTCAGATATTTTTCCTTCGCCTCATTGGCTCTTTTGGTGATATCGGATTCTTTCAAAAAACATAAAGGCCTCTCATCGTCATTTCCAAGGAAAAAGTTTCGAATTGATTTTGATTGTTTTGATGGAATTTCTAATGGCTTTGATTGTTCTGATGGAATTTCTGATGGTTTTGATTGTTCTGAGTTTTCAGCAGAATCTAGGCCCATGTCGACAGTGAGATCGGAAAAATTGAAAGAATCGAAATTCTCGAGTGGGTTTTTTGGTTGATCGGATGCTATCTAAATTTGGGAACATTTTAGTCTTTTTTACAATGGATGCTCAAATTTTTGGCTTCTGGCATTTATCAGTTGAAACTGACATAAGGTAAAGGGACTAATTGCGCTATAAATTGTGGCCATTAGATGTTGTATCTTTAAAAAAGCAAAACTTAAAGCTTAGACACTTAAGACGGCCTGAATATTTGGAAAAGTGAAAAGCTTTTTTTATATGAATTTCAGTACTATGAATAAGTCTGAATAATAAAGCCAAGCACTTACTTTTAGCACAACGTCACCTACTTTCAAATCATCTTTGACTTTTGGTCGAATCAGCTGATATTTTGAATCGTAGACGTGAAATTCGTTTGGTAGAGAAACCTTTTGCACATTCGTATCCACAGAAATATAAGGAGAGTTGAGCTAAAATAAAAATTGAAATTGAAATTTAGTAGCTCGACAAACGGGCAAAGCTTTCAGCGCTTTCCAGGCCTCGATCGCCGAGTAGCGCTCACTTCGTAGAAGATGAATACATCTGAAAGAGATTATTGAAGCCATTTCTTGATTTAAAGAAAGATTCTTTTTAAAAGCAATGGTCACTTTTCCACTATCGATTTCAGTTGTTCATCGTCACAATTTGGAACAACAAATGGTTTATTCGTTATTTGTGCTTTCACTCTTGCACAATGGACTTTTTTTTCGTCCTCATCGTTGCAGTAGCGTCTGGAAATTCGATGGTTTTGATGAAATTGCTTTATGATGCTCTTATTTCGTACAAAATTAAACTATTAGGTTGGTGAATTGAGAACTGCCGGCTATTGTCATATGTGACAGTTGGAGCACTTTCTTCAAAAGAAACCCATTTTGGTGTCAATGGAAAAGTTGTAGAGAATCAAAAATGAAGCTTATATCCAAATTTTCAGAACGATTCAAAAGCTGATTTTTAAGAAATACGAATTTTCACAAAACTTGCATTTTAAACGAAACTAATAAGTGTATCTTTTTGGAAATTTGGCTATAAGCCTAATTTTTGATTCTCTACAACTTTTCTATTAACACCAAAACAGGTTTCTTTTGAAGAAAGTGCTCAAACTGGGAGTCCTCCATCCTCCTCTCCAGTCCTCCATTTTTCCTTTATTTTCAGCTGTATTTTTGAATACAGCTGAAAAAGATTATTGAAGCCATTTCTTGATTTAGAGAAAGACTCTTTTAAAAGCAATGGTCACTTTTCCACTATCGATTTTAGTTGTTCATCGTCACAATTTGGAACAACAAATGGTTTAGCGGCATCATCCATTTGTGCTTTCACTCCAGCATGGACTGTTTCTTCGTTTTCCACATCGTTGCAGTAGCGTCTGAAAATTCGCTGGTTTTGATGAAATTGTTTCCTGGTTTTGATGAATTTCGATGGCTTTGATGAAATTGCTTTATGATTGCTCTTATTTTGTACAAAATTAAACTATTTGATGAATTTGATACTTTAAGATTTACATTGAGACTTCACTCTAATATACATAGGAATTCGTGACTCGAAACAAAAAGAAAAGAGTAATTAAGATTGTTAAGTATGTCAAAAAAAGCCTTTAAGAACCGATCAAGACTTTAAAAACAGATTTTTGTGCGCTAAAACTGAAAAAGTAACAATATTTAAGGTTTAGTAAGCAAAAATTGTTTCCTAAAGGACACCTATTTGGCATTTTGATTGGGAACTGTGACCCTCAATGTCTAGTAAACTTCAGTCAAGTAATCAAGTACCTAGTGCACCAAACTAAGCTTAATAAATACTTGAAATAACACGAAACTCTCTCTGAATCAACTCGTAGATGACCAATCCCATCCCATAAACATCATTCTTCTCGTGTACACAGATCTTTTTCATTTCCTCCGAATTTATCATTTCCCAATCTTTATTCTCGATTGGTTGCTCAGGACTTTTATATCTCGGAGATCCCAATGCTGGCCATTCTTCGGCCATCTTTGAACTAGTATCAAAATCACCGAGCTTCATCACGAAATGCTTTGTGACAAAAATGCTGAAAGGGAAGGTTTACAATCTTGATTGAGCTTTATGCAAATTAGTACTGTAGCTTTTATTCTAACTAACTTGCTCGGTTTGATGTCTCGATGAATGATTGAGTGAAAATGGAGATAGGTCAACACATCGAATAGTTGGATTGACCAATCGATAATCGTGTCGAACGAGAAGACGAACTCGGGACCTGAAGTTGAGTGAATAAATTAAGTAGTTGTAACTTTAAGCTTAAAAGAACAGTAAGAAAGTAAGGTGAGAATAACTACACCTTTCCCTAAGGAAAGAGTAGTATGACTTGTAGGGTAAGGTGCAGAACCTAGTTTCGAGACCTTTTCCTAGGTAATTGCTGGGGGCGGTCCCTCCTCACAAGGGAAGTGGACCAAGTTAAGGGGAGCTTTTGAATCAAGACCTAGATCATTCTATGCAGAATTTGACGCCGATTCCATTAGTGTTGTTACTGTTTTGTTTATTACTTCACTTTTTATCATCAATGTTGAGCTGTAAATGTTTGATGTTGTTTATAAACTTTAATATAAAGAAATTCAAAATGTGATACTCATCATTGAGTATCACATTATACTCAATGATGTATTACATTTTGCAAGCCGAAAACTATCTAGGGGGATATTCTCAAAAATGAAGCCGCTTATAACATCAATCTATCATCAATGCAACTAACTGTGTCTCAAATCCCTTGCATCCCCATGAGAGCAATACTCCATCACAATCCCAAAATCCGCGGCACCATATTTGAAAAAGCCGAAATAGCTGACGATATTCGGATGGTATAATCTCTTCAGAAGTTTGTGCTCTTCTTCAAATCGTTTCCTTTCTTCGGTTCTGAGATTCTGAAGAATCGGATCGGAATTGTTTTGGGAATTCCTTTTCCTTTTCGTCACAGCTGGGCTAAATGATAATCATTTTAAAAGTCTACAAGTTAATCTTTTCGATAATCCTGTTAAATTTTAATAGGTTTTCTTGAAAGTTTCTTTTAAAAGTTCAGTTTTTTTCAGTTAGCTGGTTTGCCATTCAAAAAAGAAGGGTTTATGGTTAAACTGAATAAAGTATTAGCGTGGTAAATATGAAAGGTTATTTTTTTGATCATTTTAACATAACAGAAAAATTCATTTAAACACTTTCAAAATCAAATGTATTCACCACAAGCATTAATAACTTCTTTCCAACGTCGCCCCAAATCACGAATGCCGTCCTCGTAAAATTGAAGATTTTTAGAGGCAAAATAGTTGGCAACCCAATTTTCGATGTGCTGCTTTTGCTTGAACTGCTTTCCAGAAACCGCTTGTTTCATAGACCGAAAGAGGTGGTAATCCGATGGGGCTAGGTCAGGGCTGTATGGTGTGTGAGGAAGAAGTTTCCATCCCGACTTAGCGATCTGTTCGTGGGCGACCTTTGAAATGTGCGGCCTAGAATTGTCGTGAAGAAATCTGACCTTTGATGGATCGATCCGCTTTTTCCTCAGTGCTCGATCGACTCGACCCAGTTGTTCTGCATAAAGTCTTCCATCAACAGTCTCGCCTTGATCTAATACTTCAAAATAAACCAATCCCTTAGTATTCCACCACACACAGATCATAACTTTCTTCCCGTGTATCGGAGGCTTCGGGAGTAAATGAGGGGTCTGCTTCGAATTCAGCCGCTGTCCATGGAGTTGAATGTTTTCATATGGAAGCCAAGTCTCATCAGATGTCAAAAAATACTTCCAAAAGTCACGATGGTGGGCTTTGCATAGAAGAAAAGAGCTTTTGTGCGTGTTCATTCGAACTTTTCTGCTAATTTTCTACACTTTTGCGATGGATCCAAGTCGACCTCGTTCAGTAACAGCTGATCGTTCAAGGTAATCGGTGGCTTTCCATGTGGTGCATCTTCCAATGACTGGTTTCCCGTTTTGAAGAGATCCTACCAAACATAACATTGCTTGTAAGTAAGAGCAGCTTCTCCAAAAACAGTACAAATATTCTGATGGCATTCCGTAGCTTTCTGGTTTAAATTGAATTCAAAGAATATGGCCAATCAGTAATGAGTCACACGTAAGAAAGGAAGTTTTGCCGTAAAATTTTAGTTGACTCTCAGTGTTTACCACTAAAAGAGACAAAAGACTTCCTTTATTTCAAAACTTTTTCATTGATTTGACATGCTTTCTTATCTCTTTATTAGCTACTTCTTTTTTCGATTAGTGCAAATTTGCCAACTTCGCATATTCAGCATGTAATGCTATTTGGGTTTGCCAAAACTTTTGGCTTTTGTAACTTAGAGGGGACTTTTAACCATTTTAGATTTATATCTCCGTTTCTGACGTTTTGCTCATGTGCTTTCTGGGATTTTTAACGCAATTAGGTAGGTAGCAACAATATAGGTAGGTAGAAACAACAATAGGTAGCAACGGAGAGTGCTCATGTGCTTTTAAGTTAAGCACAGCCATTCAGACAAATGATCTAAACAGAATAGTTACCCAAGGATTTAAACAGTGAGAAAAACAAGACTAATTTGATTCAAAAGACAATCTTCTAAGTGAGCTCTTCTTTACATGTAGTCAAAAATGTAGGAGGGAAGTCGGTCTTGAGTAGCTCCCCCCAAATGCTTGATTGAAGTCTTCAGTGCTCCCGAGACAGCTTTGGCACCTTGACTACAAAATGACTTTAAGATACGATTTTGCCTGATGGAATTGTGAACACATGTGCAACTGGGTTCGGTACGGCCAAGGCGTTTCGCTCCAAATACAAAATGGGGTAAGTTAAAACTCGTAAAAGTTTAAATTTTTTAAAAACCTAAACACCTAAACAAGTCTTGGATCCCGAAGAATGGCGCTGACTTATTATCGCGAATCTGCTTTAGACTCTTCAATTCACTCTTGAATCGAAAGCATCGACATCGTACATAAAACATACTACTTTTTTGTCTCACTCCTGTTTTTTGTAGTTGCTACCTATTGTTGTCAATAGATTGCGTTAAAAATCCCAGCAAGCACATGAGCAAAACGTTAAGTCTAAATGATATAAATGGTTAAAAGTCCCCTCTAAGTTACAAGAGCTAAACTTTTTTCTTTGACTATTGTAAAAGTTGCTCATTTGGATCATTTGTGAGACTTCTTTGCTATTTCAATATAACTTAGGCTTGAATATACTTGAATATAACTTTAGAGATTATAAAGTTCATGAAAGTCCTAAAAGTTTTTCAATAAAAACTCACGGAACATGACAAATCTTTTGTATGACGCCAAATCCGCCCTCTCCTGTGATGTTATCTTGGTTGTAGTGTGTCTCCTGATCTCGGAAAAGATTCGTGTAGTCTTTTTCTTTCATCGATTCTGATAGTTTGATAGTAAAGATGTAACAAATAAACAAATGAATATATAAGATCGTCCATGACGATTGAAAAGACATAGTTTGGTTGAACCAAATGTTTATTGACAAAAAGACTTCCGTTCTTTTTCATAAATCCGTGACTGCTCTTCGTTTAATAGCGCGCCCCAGCTACCGTACCCTCGTCGCCGTCAAGCAATCTGCGTATATAACGCCATTTTACCCATTTTTTTTTATTTTAATGGGATTGTTTTACTTTGTAAATTTATTTTTTGTTTTTCTAATTATAAAGTCCTTTACTTATTTCTAGTAAGTTTTATGTTTGAATGGAGTTACTTTGTTTTGAAGAGTTTTTTTTCGAGACCATAGCCGGCAAGAAACATTGTAACAACAGAAGAAAATTTCAGTCGAGACAACAACAGCAATGTTTTCATCAAATTTTTAACGTATTAATTTAATATAAACATAGGTGGCATATAACGTTGAAAAGAATTTAGAACAAAGGGAAATGGGCTTATATACGCGCATTGCTTGACGGCGCCGAGGTTACGATAGCTGGAGCGCGCTATTAAGCGGAAAGCAGCCACGGGCTTCTGAAAAAGAATGGAGGTTACAAAGAGGCACTCCTAAAGTAAACTTAATTACCCTTATTGACAACAAATTTCGGTACAAAAAGTTGCATTTTATCATTGAGTCGGGCTTGACGAAGTCTTGCATATTCTCAAGCAACGTTTCCGCCGTCCGATCGTCAACTTCCGTCAAAAAGTGGAAATATTATAGTAATTGAGGCGTTTGAGTACATTTATTGGAATTTAACCGGATTTATACATGGATCTTTTGCTTAGTAATAGTTGCTAAATTTCAAAGTTTCGTGTGCCAGACACCAAAAGATAGCGATGTCAAAATTTTCCCTGTAAATCATGGAACCAATATGCCTCTAAACTTTTCGAAGTTGGTGATTGGGCAAGGTATCGAAAAGGATTCGATGTTAAACTCGTTGCTGACCCAGAAGACTGTTCATCTTCATCAGAAGACTGTTCATCAGAAACATCGGCCTCGAAATCGGAATCCTCTAAGAAGTCGGGCAATAAAAATTGAGCATCCGACGATAAACGCCGACCTTTCTCACGTATTTGAGAGGGATTTTCAAAGAAATTTATGAAAAGCTCTGTCGTTTTTAGGCTTTTCTCATCTTTTAAAATCAATGCATTCATATTTATATCTATTGCTATGATCTCTTTTGTTTGATTAGCTTCAAATTGGCTGAGAAGTCGATGACAAGTCGATGCTTCGATCGTAAAGAAATTAAGGTGAAGATCGAAACATGGAATCCTGTCGAAAGGGTGATAAAGCTCTGGGTTATCCAGTAAAATGATAGCCTTATCATCGAATTTTTGATCTTTTGATAGATATAAAAAAAGGAAATAGTTTGCATCATCAGGATTTTTGATTTCAGTGATCAAATTGAGGTGATCTGTGTCCAGCCGTCCGTAAACTAACGCGTCCAATTCACGACAAAATTCAATATAAAATTCAAGGTATTCGATCGATTTTTGAGTTGAATTTTGGCAACAATTGAAGCGTTGAAGAGCTTTATCTGTTTCTTTCGGTAAGCTGATCATTTCACTCAGCTCACATTTAGGCTCATGACGGCAAAGTGGGATTGGCGGCGTCTTTAGAGAGAAATAATAGCCAAGCTTTGGGTATCGAATGCCTAAATACTTTGCGTTAACGAAATTGTACAAGTCGGGGATTTGGGATTTGTCGATCGACCGAAATTTGAGTTCGATGAAGCGTCTTAGACGATCTTTCGCCTCTTCCAAGGCGCCGATCACTTGATTGACTTCAATGTACATGATATCATTAAAAATCAACTTTTCGTAGAAATAAAAGCTTTCTAGATCTTCAAACTTGTTAATTTGATGTTGTTGTATGTTTTTAACACTCTTTGCTTGTTGGTAAGCCTTTTTGGTCTCTTCATTTGATAAATTTACCCGAACCAATTCATCACCTTGCGCTTTTTCCATCCATTTCCCAGGAATCACTTCAACCATCGTCAAATCAGCTTTAATAAACCTATTATAAGAAAAAGTTTGCGATGAATGAATCAAATTCTCTTTCTCTACCAGCAACCAGCTTTCTTTCGATCCGATTGTCGTATAATGATCGAAACCGATCTTCTGACTGTACATCGACGTCACAAAAACATTGAATCTTGCCAATGCTTGGCACAGCTTATTGTACAAACCCCAATCCTGAAAATGAACTCCTTTCAGCTTCTCTATCAGTGAAAAAGCTTTAATGTACTCGTCGTATTGAGCTTTCCGATGCCAAAAGACTATTTCTTCGATCAGTTTTTCTTCTTTCCCTTCACTCAACTCTTTTACGTTAATATTCCCGAC